GAATCGCAGGAGCTAGGCTATTATGCTCAGTGCCAGCCTAAACGATTAGAAGTGTTTACCAAATTGCAAGAAAAATGACTTCAAGAAAATTTGTATACAGCAATCCAAAAAAAACTATTGAAAATCACATTGCCAGTTTTAGAACTGACATGAAAAACTCAATGGTATTTTATCTTTAACAAATCAAACAAGCTGTTTCAAGACTGCATGAGAATTAAGAAAAACTTTGTTTTAATTTTTCCGAGGACATATCTCCCAAGATACTGGCTCAAAACAATCAATTTTTGCGACCAAAAAAATGGCAAAACAGAAAACGTTTTTTGTTTTCTAGAGAAAAAAGCGCAGTTTTGAGCAAAAAAATACTTTAGAGAGTTTTTCAAATGAAAAAAAAATGTAGTAGGTTCAGAGAAGACAAAAGGTGAACCAATGAAAGACGTGAAAAAAAAACTTAATGCATACTTCTCTAATTTTGGCAAAAATTGTACCACAAAAAACTTTCCGCCCAAGCCAAAAAAAAGTTTCACTCAGTCAAAAATGTTTTTTTTTTGAAAATACACACTACTAAAATAAGGAAAGTTATTTTAAAACGTAAAAACCAAATATAAGTGTGCATCATACGACAGTAACATTTTGTTCTGAAAAAAAAAACAGCCCTCACCTTCCGGGTTGTTGACATGGCTTTCTCGAAAAAACATTTTCTTCATTAACATAATTTGGCAAACTTTTTGAGAATCTCATCTTTATAAGCTTGAACGACATTTTTGACTAAGGTAACGTGTTCAATCAAAATCAGTTTGGGTTTAGATAAAAACAGGTTTCACTGGAATCATCAACACATCTCAACCCTGCGCACAATCGTAGATCTAAAAAAGTTTTGATCATGGTAATTTGCTGGAAAATCCTGTTCACAGGAGGCCTATTTACCATTTATTGGAAAGGTATAAGGAAAGCAGAAAACAGTTATGTATCAATCTCAGCAGAAAAATCAAAAATTGAAGGATTAACTTTTGGTGTCTCACAGGGAACCATCCTATTTGGTCCACTCATTCATTACTTTATGCGGATGATTGACGAAACTCACTCTATGTGGATGATACCTCCAAAAAACAACCTTCTCGTTAAATTGTCTAAAATCAGATCAACAACGAGTTCTACACGAAATCAGTTTTTGCTTAGCAAGCAAAAACATCACACATAACAGAGAGAAAACTAACTGTGCTTTTTTGGGAACCAGAAAGCTGCTAAACTTTCTCTAGATAGATCAAACACTGGAGAAAAACAGAAAAACTCACAGCCGTCAAATATTTTAGAAAAATTAAAGAGGAAAAAAAAACTTCAGAAGCCACATATCGTCTTTGGAAAACAAAGCCAGAACTGATAAAAAAATCTTACGTTACAAAAAAATGAATAAGCAAAACACATAAATAAACAATATGAAAATTTTACAACTAGATAATTATATATTCATGAACTGCAAAAGTTTTGTGCAAAGTCATACGGAGTGAATTCCAATCCGAATTTTTACACAAAATACTTAAAAAACAGAATCAATAAAAGTAGCGATAGCTGTCGCATTACTTACAAGGTTTTCTTCAAAACACTCCGTTGCTGCAAGAACTCCTCAACAAGCTGATTTTTTGTTCCTTCAGTTTTTTATTTTTCAACTGATTAAATTTTTTTATAAATTCACGAAGTGTTGAAAAAATTAAATTGAACCAAAATGTTTGTATGTCTCGATGAAGGACACCTAGGGTTCAGTTGAGTCTGGAGTTACACGTTTAATATTTTTTAAATTCGTTAAAATGATGCGGGACAAAATGCGTAACTTTAAAGTTGGACTTTGCCAGTAACTTTGCCTGAACAACCTGTTGCGCCGATGAAACCTATGATATCTGATTTAGCAGGATAGTTATCGAGATAAATCCAAAAACCGGTCAAGAAATCAGAGATTTGACATTTTCGAGAATCATAGCTTTCGCTCAAAAAACTTAGCGTAACCGCTTACGCAGAAGAAGTTAACTTAGCCTGTATCTTCGATTGAACAAGTAGTTCAAAAAACGTTCAAACATTTAAAACATTAACTTTTCCGATAGCTATAACTAGCAAACAAACTTGCGCGTAGCCGTATGCAAAGGAGTTTTGCACAAATCTTTTTTTGGATTGAACCCAAAATCTCAGATATGGGATGATATTTTTTGGTAAAATCTTTAAGCTTAGACATAAACGCTCAACAAATCAAAAAAAAATTGGCTTTTCCGAAGACGAAACCATTTCGAATAAAAAACAGCGAGTGGCCGCATGAACGTAGGCCTTTTTTCTCTGCACAATCCAAAATAATTTTGTAAAAAGACAAAATCGTCGCAAAAAATGAAATCAAAAAACCCAATCAAAACACTTTCAAAATACTTGTTTTCATTACACCAAATTCTAGGCAAAAAAGCCAAGCAAGTTATTTTAAAATCAAATTAACAACTGAACAATTTTTTGGAGCGGAAGCAAGGCCGACAATTTTTAAGCAGACACCAGTTATGCTTAAAAATTGAAAGGTTTTTTCACATAAGAAAGGTTTTTTCTTCCATCTTTTGAGAACAAAAAACAGTTTTTTATACTTGCTCTGAGACACCTGAAAAAGAGTTTAAATTAATCTCAGGGCGCTCTCTCATGTGACTTTTTTGTACAAGAATTCTTCATTTGTAATTCTGTTCGTGTAATGACTTCACTTGGAAACAATTATTTATGCTAAAGATGATGAATTTCTTCAATATTGTTTATACAAGAACCAGCGACAGAATATTGCTTTCGCTAGGATCAAGAGAAATGGTAACGATTGAGGGAGGGGCTTTATGCCATAGAAGCTCAAGGAGATGAAAAAAATTTGATTTTTCAAAAACAATATACTGCAATCATACTCCTAAGATACTGGCAGCGCTCAAATTGAAGGTCGGCTAAGTCCCACAATGTTATTTTTAAAAATATTTTTGAGTTTCAGTAAAATTATTGGCGTGCGATTGCCCACCCCAAAACCATCAATGCCTTATTTTTAAAAAATCTACAAGAAAAGTAAAGTTTTTTTTGTTCAAATTAGTGTGGTTTTGTTTTGTGCGTACAGTGATAAGAGAATAATTGTATAAAGTTAGACATTATCGACAACATTTGTCTTCTAATACTGAAAGACAATTAAAAGCTATGAAAAAGAAATTTAAAAAAAAATTTTTTAAAATTTGTTCTATGTTTTGCACAATACTTTTCTAATTTTTTTTAGAATTTTTTTTGCAATGGTAGCGTTAGATGGAGCTCTTGAAAATATTCCTTCTTCCTGTGAAAGTAAGTTTCTTAGCCTAAATGACCATTGTTTTTATAACGAACGTTATTCAATTTTATTTGTTCAAAACTTGGAATTGGAATTTTTGTTTATTTGAAACTTACTGCAAAACTTTTTTTTGTTCTTTTTAATTTTTTTTTTCATTTTTCGAGAAAACTTTTGTCGATAAAACTTAATTTTGAAAGCTTGTCGTTTTTGTGCACTTCCTGGGCTTCCTTTTAGGATTACAAAACGAACAAAAATCGATAAAGATTGAAAAACTTTTTTTTAATGAGGTCGGAAATGGCTGTGCTGCTTCTACAAATGTTTTACGGAACGGGTTGAAGAATATATCTTTTCTATGGGCTTAAGGATATATCATAGTCTTCTCAGTCAAGATTTGAAAGACAATTGAAAAGAAATTTTTTTCTGATTGTCAAGAAAAATTGGTATGGAAGATTTTGACTTTTATCTTTTGGTTTCTATTTTTCTACTCATTTGTGGCGGACTGTTGTGGAGTATACCGAATTTTTTACCTATTGCATATGCTAAGTTCGTTGGTTTTTATTCAGATCATTTCATGGCAATACGAATAAATAACGACAGTTTGTAAAAAAAAATGTTTTTTTTTTAATAGTTTTTTTTGAGTTTGTTTTAAATTTTAGGTAGTGATGCTTTCGAAAAAAAAAATAACAAAAAACGATAAAATTTAAAAAAAATTACTTTTTTTCAGATTGCTGTAGTTTTTAATTTTGTTTTAGTTGGAATTTAGTGCGCGACTTGCACAGCAACAGGCTATTCTTGGTGTTCCAATGATTGAAAATGTGGAACAATTTTGTTTGCAGGTATTGCAATTTTTTCTTTTTCTACGTTTTCCGCGCAAAATCAGGCTCCAGAAAAAGTCGTCGGAATGGCTTAAGTGATATATCATATTCTCCAGTCGTAAGTCAAATGACTTTAATTTTTTAAACTGCCTTAGTGTTGGAAAAAGCTGGTTTGAATTTTTGTGTCTAAGTTTCGAGCGAGTAAAGCAATTGAGTAACCTTCTTTGTATGAAAATTACTCATTTAGATTAAGAAAATTTAATTTTACTAAAAAAGACATTCAAGAACTTCATTGAGCGCTTCCTTAGCAATAAAAGTTATAAGGGAAATTTCAAAATTATTGTGCAAACAAATAGAACAAATTATAGAACATGTATTTTTTTTTCAATTCTTTGTTATTCATATTTTGAGAGCAACTGTTGTCAATTAAGTATAATTCCCACTTTCTTGTGCATTTGTGTAGTTTTCTCTTCACACCACATACAAAAAAGACACTAATTTGAAGAAAAAAATCCTTAATAGTTGTACAGCAACCGGCTATCCTTGTGTAGGTTTTGGAAATAGTAATAAATGGTTTTCCCGTAGCTTTTGCCCCAGTCTGTGTTCATTAAACCAGTCTTCTCTTGTCTATTAACCCAGTCTGTGTTCATTAAGGCAGTCTACTTTTATCTATTAACCCAGTCTGTGAACTTCTTGTTGAGTTACTTTTATTTATATTCAAATTGTGTAGAAAATAATGATAACAATAAATCAAAGGGTATCATGCAAAAATAGATGCATATGCGATTAGCACTATAGTTATCATATGAACTATTTTTACCCACCTTTGAATCACTTTTCAGGTGATAAAGTTTTAATTTGAAAAGGCTGGAAACTTTTTATGTTATTTGTTGTTCACAAAGCATAAAATATCCAATACTAAGTGTTTGAAGTTAGCACCATTTCCCATTTAGGATTGTTTTGAAAAATTGCTTCTTCCTTTTTACATTGAGCCCAATATTTGAAACTTTTCAAAATAACAATTGACTAAATTTATTTTACAGATCACGTGGTTGAAGTAGTGTTTTAAAGTGTATCAGGTACAAAGCATAAGCGGAAAGTATAAAAACATTTTATCAAAAAAAATCTCTCCCATAAACTTTTTTAGGAAACTTTTCGAAGCTTACTACCAAAAGCAGAAATTTTTTGCGCCCGCTAATCTTGCAAATATTGGACCATTAACCATTAGAACAAACCCCCCCCCCCCCCCCCCCCACTCAATTGATTTAAGGGGGAGATTGTTCACTTGTTTTTCTACTTGACATTTGTTTTACTTGAGGGGATAGTTCACTTGGTCGATGTTGGAGGGGATGGGGGGTGGGGGTAGGGCGTTAGAGATTGTTTACATGTGCCCAAAATTTGGTTCGTAGAATTCTATTAGAAAAATAAAAAAAATTAGGGTTGTCCACCAAAAATATTTCGTTAAAATAGTGCAAAAAAGGTTGTGCTAAGGAGAGGCAGTGTCCACAAAAAACCATTAATAAATCCGCCCACGTCATTTTGATAATTATATAAGTGTTATAATTGCATTGCCAGCTTTCATCCATCGTAATTTGCGGCCTAATTGTTACTAAATTTGTTCACAAAAATATCCCAATATCTATTTATTCTACTTTTTATTTGCGGCCATCTGGACTTCATATGAAATTTTGTTCAGCAGCAATTTTAGCTTATTTTTAAAAGTAGAACGACATGAGCAAAATATTTCTCAAATTTGCAGGTTATTTCTTTTTTACCTCTATTTAAATTTTTTCAGAATTATTTGGGTTTAATTACCACTATGCTTTGTTTTGTAGGTTTTCTGCTATTAGCCACATTGCCTAGTACGTTTGGATGGTATGGTAAGTCTATTGTCTTTTCTTCGGTATTCAACTATTTCAACCGTAACCGTTTATCGGTCCGAAAAGTTAACCTTTTTTTGGGCTTCACCAAAATAAAGAACAAAGAGCTCGTTTAAGCGCAGAAAGTGGACACTTTTTGGACCAACATTATTGCTAAAAAAAAACTGAAAAAAAATTAAGTTAGAACAAAAAAGATCAGTTTTTTCAATTTTCTAATTTTTAGGTCTACTTTTCAGGAAGAAATTAATCAGAGCATGGTGAAGAAAAAAGAGAAAATGAAAAATGAATAAAAGGTTCTTGATTACAATGGTTTTTCGGAACTGAGAATTTTAAAAACCTTTTATTCATTTTTCATTTCCTCTTTTTTCTTCACCATGCTCTGATTAGTTTCTTCCTGAAAAGTAGACCTGCAAAATTAGAAAATTGAAAAAGTTTTGAATTGAACATTTTCCAAATATTCTCATCTTATATCATTTAGTGGTGCCAAGTCTAAAAAAATTGAAAATTAAATTAAAATGGTTAGCCCCTTTTTCATTTTTCATGAATTGAACTTTTCTTCGAGGCTTAAAGGCGAGCGGTGCGAGCTCATGCCAGTATTTCAGACTGGTTTGCAGTTATGCCATCACTAAGTTAAAGCGGGGTCAATCAGTATGAGCTTGCGATGCAACTTGAATTACCAAAAAAAATCAAATGGCAAGCATATCGCATTTCCAAAATTATAGTGCTTGTTATCGTTGTTTTGCTGAATTAGATCATATTTGTAATTTTGTGTAACTCAAAGTGCATCGAAACCGAAAACTCATATTGACTGACCCTGAATTACGGGTTCCACAACCGCAAACCAGTCAGAACTGCTTTTATAATTAGCATCAGGGCTGAAAAAGCGGTTGAGAGCACACACCATGCACTATAAGCGATTAACTTCGATTCTTTCTCACCTATTAAAGGTGACTAAATAATTTTTTGGGAAAGCAAAACTTAAGAAAAAGTTTCCTTCAAAAGTGCTTTCGGTTTTTCAAAAACTGTCCTATCTAAAAAAGTGCTGTATTTACCAAAAAGCTTGCATCGATTGGATAGTAAATGACTTTTGAGCCGGATTGAAATGTCGCGCTTAAAAATGATTGCAGATGAAATAGTTTATACATATGAGAGAAGGATCTCTTCATCTTTTTGGGAGATATTAAGTATTCAAAAAATGCACAAAAACATATTTTAAAACAGTAGTTCAATAAAATATTGAACAATTGGTGTGTTGTTGTCGCAGATTATGACGTTGACTATGACTATGACTACAGAAGCTACTGGTTGAAGAAAAGATCTTCATCAAACGAGAACAAGAACGGAACCGAGGAAGAAAAACGGACATCCCTAAGAGATAACCCAAATGGTGAGTGGATAACTCTTCAATGCTCAATATATTAACAATGATGACCGGTTTTGTGCAAGGAGCACAGAATGTTCCGACCATAGTCTTTAGAAAACTACCGTTAAGAAAGTTTTTTTTTCAAATTAGTGTAGCGTTTTTTACTTGGTGTGATGGAAGGATATGACATAAAATTATAATTAGGGCATATTAGACAGTAAAACTAATGCAGACAAATTAGACAAAGATTTTTGTAGAAAAATGACTAGGATAACTAAAAAAAATTAAAAAGATTTGCAGAAAAATTTAAAGTTTTTTCAAGGTTTGGTTCCCAAAATGAAGTTAAAAAACTCCTAAAATTAGTTTTACTAGCTTAAAATTATGCTTTCGGGTCTTCAATTAGGCATAGTTTAGCTCTTGTAAGCCTGCTCGCTTGCTTCATTCGCTCGAGTTAAGACGAAAATACTAATTTTCAAACTGGGAATTTTTTTCGAAATTTTTTATTGTGATTCGCATTACGACTAAAAGAGCTTTAATATGATATATCACTCATCCCAGCCCGATCATTATTTGTGGTAACAAATTTTGCGTTGAAAACAAAAAGCAAAAAAAAACTAAAACACACCCGAATACAAAATTCCTCCCCATTTTCTATGGTCGGAACAACAAAAACTCTCAAATTTTTACATTTTAGAAGATAATTTTTTTGAAGCACATTATACCCGAACAAACTAATTATCTGGAAACGATCTCTTTTTGGGTTTGCTTCGAATCAGCAAACATATAATTCTACAATTAAACCCCATGAGATGAGCGGATATGCGGATAAATTGAACCGTCGACTTGTTTTGGCTACTCAAAACCGTCTAAAACAAAAGCAAGTCCTTATTAGCAAAAAAAAACTCAAGCAAAACAAATCAATATATTTTGAGCCATTGCAATAAAAAAAGATATCTCTCTAAGTAGCCGAGTTTGCGTCTCGAGGCTAGCAACAAATATCAGCAAGATCGATTGAGTTTTCATTGATTTATGTATTCTGATGCTATGTATTATACTAGACACAATTTAGTTATTGTTTATTGCAATTAAATTACTTTGGCTTGCAACAATAATAATTTGCACTCGGATAAAATATTATTTGGTAAAAGTCTGGCTGAACTGGCAATCGACAAAATCATTTTGCGGTTATTTTTTGATTTCCTAATAATCGAAGACTCAACCAGGGGGCATAAGTGTGACACAGGGGTCCCAAGAAACTAACAGGGTCCCTTATGTAAATAAAGTGCTTCAAATCGGTTTAATTTAATGCTTCGGTAATTTCAACTAAAGTATGGAGTATGTTAGATCCAATGAGGCAGGCCAATTACGCTTGAGAAAAAGCTTTGAAACTGCCAATCGGCGCATATTGATCGAGTTACTTACTGTATTTAATTAAACATAATGTGGTCTGGAATACCTTTCTCACACTTGGTGTTTAGCGGAACCCCTCTATCGCACTTATACCCAACCAGGGATTTTTGGGAATTACAGAAGCTCAAGTTATCCTCACTGACTTGACTCTGAGTACCATTGTTGTGTATCGTTGTCCGGTTCGTCATATTCCAATTTTCTAAAACAGACGGAATACTCATCATTGATAACAAAAACAATGGTGTTTTGTTATCGGCTGATTCAATATTCCGTTTCAAAAACTTTTCAATTCCACCGAAGCATTATGGTTCCGACGTTCAAAGAAAGTGAGGAAAAAATACAAACGGGGTGTTTTTTTATTCAGACCACTTTTACAAAATTCTGGTCCCTCGGCGATCGATCTCTCAATCTGCATGGGGCCAGCCTAGTGTGCACATCACTATACCAACCTGCAATGACTCTGTCTGAAAGTGCTTGTTTTTATTATCCCGCACTACAAAATCATTCCAAATTGAACGGAGGCAGCTAATTGGTTTCTTTCACTCCATACATGACTCAAATTGCAACGCTTAGTTTTGATATTTTCAGCCTAAGTTTCATAGTTTTGCCTATATTTAATTTACCAAAAACTACCCGAGACCAATTAAATGGCAGTGGGGTCCAGAAGTGTAATAGAAGGGTCCCAAGGAACTAACCGGGTCCCTAATATAATAAATGGCCTCAAAATTATTCAACTTAGTGCTTTGATGACGTCAATTAAATTATCAAATAATTTTACTCGAATGAGGCACCTTTAAGAAAAAGTTTTAAAACGACCGACCGATGCTTTTTGAGTTAGTTAATTGTGGTACTTGCGATTTGGGACTACTCTCTCATACTTGGTTTAAGCCGGGACCCCTCTATCGCACTTAATCCGGCAGCCGGAACATTCAGGGCTCTGCCCTAATACGAGCAGTCCTTGTTAAGAAGTTCGGAAAAAATTGGTTGATTTCGATGCTGTTCTGTTTCCACTCATTACGATGACAACCCCGACTTGATATTTGAAAACTTACATATGAACATTTTTGTGCCACTTGTTGGAAACTCTCAAATCTGATCACTACTGTGTCAACAAATTTTCAAATCAAGTTCATGTTTTTTCTTCTCCCAAGTTCAATTTGGGACCAAAGTGGTTTCCGAATCAAGTTGATCGTCTTTTTTGATCAACTGTTGTCTGTAAGACTACAGAATTAGTTAAGTCTGATTTTGCACGACAATCTAACTGTCAAACAAATCAATTAACATGCTGTTTGTTATCTTTCATATAACCTCAGTCAAGAAAAAAAACTTAACTGTTGCAGCAATGGTAAAAATGGTTTCTGATCGATTTAAGTGTCTAAAAAATTGAATTAAATCGAACTAAAATCCATTTAAAAAAACCCCTGATTAGATTAATTTAAGTTTCTCATAAATCTCGAAGCAGCTCTTAAATATGCTGAAAAATCATAGAAAATGACCAGTTAAAATCAGATTATTGTCAAAAACCTAAATTACAGATGAAAAAAGGTTCACAAAAAATCAAAAATTGATATCGAAAAATTGCAAAGAAATCATCGACAATTATCTTTGTGAATCAGATATTGGGCAAAATTTGTGTGAAAAATAAAAAAATGGTCAATATAGATCAAATTTTGAGCTTGAAATATGCAAGGAAATCATAAAACGTTATCAATAGTTTAAAAACAATTTTTTTCTTATGCTACCTTACTGAGTTAGAACCGATGTGGTTAACTCATAGAGTAATTTCGGATAGGGTACACCGTCTGCTCGTCACGCTATCTTATTTTCGGCCGGATAGATTCGTGCAACTTCTTAGTCTAATACCGATCCTAATCTTACTCTTATACTATTCTAGTCTCAGGTTGTTTAACTAGTCTCTGCTAGGCTCAATAGATCTAGGGTATACTGGTTTATTGCGGCTGCTGAAGTTCTCTTGGAGAGGCAACTAATTTCTAAGTTAAATTCAAATCTCTCTGGTGCTGAAATTACAAGTAATTTCAGCACTTACAAATAAGTGGGTTGTTAGTTAGATGGATCATGATTGGTTAATATTAAATACTTTACAGTGGTAAAATATCTAATTTATCCAATCATAAAATGTAGTTTAGATCAGGTTCCACCCATCCGGGTTTTACAGAGTTTTTTAGAATAGTCTTTCTGCAATTCAAAGGATGGATGATGGACGTTGGTATTTGGCGAACATCATATTTTTTCTGGGTTCTCTTGTTAGAGAAGTTCCAGGTTCAATCGCTGTGTCTTCTCATGACAACGACTGGGTTTTCGCAACAAACTCAAATCTGATTTCAGAATGGTTGGCTATGACAGGTTTTTCTGTTCCATGTAGAGAACTTCTTTTGGGTTGACCTTGTCTGGGAATGGCGTGGAGATTGTGCGTGGAGGGGATGCCTGGTTACTCGGATCTGTACGTATACTTGAACATCGAGGTGGTCATTGTTCTAGTTCAATGAAGTCCTTTTCTGCGAAGTCAAGTCGTACTCTAAATCCTTTGAGTTGTGATTGTGGGCGGCATATTGATTGTGGTTGGCCATTCTTTTTCGAGTGTAGTGGGGTCATTTTGTCTTTGGATGTTCGTCTTTGGTGTTGTATGCTGATCTATATACTGCAAGGTGTAATTTACATTTTATAAAATTTTTATTAGTTTGGTGTTTTAATTAACATAGGCGCTACGCGCAATACACCGAAGGCATAGAAACTGAAGCAAAAACCAAACAACTTGAACAACTAATAATTGAAGAATAACAGTTCTAGAACAAAAAATCGTACTAATACATGTATACACCAAAATTTTGCTATATCGAGAAAGAGCCTGAAATAACAGTTCTAGAACTAAAAATCGTACTAACACATGTATAGGTTAAATTTTTGATATATCAACGAAGATCATAAAATAACACTTCAATAACTAAAAATCGTACTAACACATGTATACACCAAAATCTTACTATATTGACAAAGAGCCTGAAATAACAGTTCGTGAGCTAAAAATCGTACGAACACATGTATACACCAAAATTTTGCTATATTGGCAAAGATCATGAAATAACAGTTCGAGAGCTAAAAATCGTACTAACACATGTATACGTCAAATTTTTGCTATATTGACAAAGATCATGGAATAACAGTTCTAGAGCTAAAAATCGTACTAACACATGTATACACCAAAATTTTGCTATTTTGACAAAGATCATGGAATAACAGTTCGAGAACTAAAAATGGTACTAACACATGTATACAATAAAATTTTGATATATTGACAAAGATCATGAAATAACAGTTCGAGAACTAAAAATTGTAATAACACATGTATACACTAAAATTTTGATATATTGACATAGATCATAAAATAACAGTTCGAGAACTTAAAATGGTACTAACACATGTATACGCTAAAATATTGCTATATTGACGAAGAGCCTGAAATAACAATTCTAGAGCTAAAATCGTACTAACACATGTATACACCAATATTTTGCTATATCGACAAAGAGCCTGAATAAACGTTGTAGAACTCAAAATCTTACTAACACATATATACACCAAAATTTTGCTATATT